TAGTCCTTTCCCTAGCCTCAGGTAGTTTCCTCACACACATATGATTATTAGTTCTCAGCTAAAAACTCAAAAGGAACCCTCTATGAATCTGTGGAGCACTTTCCCACTCTCTTCTGCCCGCTCCTCTCAGTTTTGTGAATTCTAACCATCTTGGCCTCCTCAAATTCTGAACTCTGTCTTGGTAACTCAGGAAGACTGCCAAGCACTATTTGGGTGTCCCTCCATGCACTGTGGTCATGAAACTCTCTCCAAGATATTAAGCTGCAACGATGGTAAAGCTTACTTCATTTGTTTTCCTGAGGATCACTGTCCTGCACAGCCTGTTACTCAACAGTCTGAAAACCATTGGTAGGGTAAATCCAGTTCCTGTTGCTCCATCACAGCCAAAAAGCAGAAGTTCTTCCTTTTATCTTCTAACTGGTTGTTGTTTGTACGTGTAAAAAGTTTTGATTTCTGCTTATTAATTTTGTACCTCACTATCTGATTGAATTATCTTTTTTGTTTGTAGTAGTTTTTTAAGTTTTTTTCCCCAGGTATACGATTATATAATCTGTAAATATTTGCATTTCCAATTTGTTCCCTTCTAATTTGTTTTCACTGCCTAATTGCAACTGGTTAGTACCACTAATAGAATGCTAAATAATAATAATATTAATAATAATGGGGATACACTCTATACAGATTATGCTTTATTTTTTTTTTAATTTCTTTTTTTTTTTTGCGGTACGCGGGCCTCTCACTGTTGTGGCCTCTCCCGTTGCGGAGCACAGGCTCCGGACGCGCAGACTCAGCGGCCATGGCTCACGGGCCCAGCCGCTCCGCGGCATGTGGGATCTTCCCGGACTGGGGCACGAACCCGTGTCCCCTGCATCGGCAGGCGGACTCTCAACCACTGCGCCACCAGGGAAGCCCCAGATTATGCTTTAATAAGAAGTTTTTAAAATATTAATGGGAGTGAGTATCATTGTCTTGTTCTTCACTTTAATGAAAATGTTTAAAGCATTTTCCCATAAAGCATGACATTTGTTTTTACTAAGCAGAAATATTTTGTCATGTTAAGGAAATATCTATCAGTATTTTATGAATGCCTTTTCACCATCTGTAGAGATGACTGTCGACTTAATAATAAATAATATTAATAGACATCCTAATATTTAGCCATCCTTGATTTCCTGGAACAAATCCCTCTTAGTCATGATTAGTATTCTTTTAGTATGATGTTGGATTCTGTTTACTAATACTTTCTTAGTTTTTGTATGAAATGCTCTGTTTTCTACAATATTTTCTGGGGTTTGGTAACAAAGTAATACTCACTTCACAAAAAGAATCTGGTGACATGATGACTGAGAATTGCTTCAAAATAATCCAATCTTGGGGAGCAGTGGGGTTGGGGAGAATAAAACAAAATTGGTCATATGTTGACAACTGTGGAGCTGGATGATGAGTATCTTATACTTCATAATATTCTCTCTACTCTTATATATGTTTGAGATTTACCCCCAAAAAAGTAAAAGAAAAAAATTTTGCAAAATTTCCTTCTTTCCTATGCTTTGGGACAGTTTAAACAGCATTGAAAGTAACCACACTTAAAAAGTTTGGTAAATTTCCCTGTGTAAATTTTCATTCACCTGTGTAACTGGTTTTCACCATTTATATTTTGTTATAAAGTTGATCACTTCATCCAGATTTTCAAATATATTTGTATAAAGTCTTTCTTTCTTTGGGTATTTGTGTATCCTACAGGTGGATTTTTAAAAACGTTAAAATTGTGGTAATTTTAAAACATGAACAAAAGGAGAGAGAACGGTATAATGTACCCATCACCAGGTGTCAACAACTGTCGACAAGCATTTTGCCACACTTGTTTCGTTCAACCCCTGCATCCACTTTTTTTCTGTAGTATTCTAATGTACATCATGTTATTTAAGCAATACTTCAGTAGGGCTCTCCAACTGATAAAGATTTTTTTCCCATAACCATCATGTCATCATTATCCCCTTCCCAAATTAACAACAAGTCCTTAGTATTATATAGTAAATATATAATTTTTTGAGATGGGTGAAATGTAGGCAAGAAAAAGCCAAAAGAGAGAAAAAAATTGAGACTTTAAGAGACTATGGGAAAATGAAGTACCAAGGTCCCAGTGCAGAGTCAAGACATGAATCCATAGAAGGTACATTATATTCTGAGACTGGAGTAATGGAGGAAAAAATAGATGAAAGAACGTCTGTTGAGAAGAGAGATTCGAGGTGAACAATTCTGATGCCCTCTAATTTTCCCAATGAACTAGAAGGTAAGTTTGTTGTGAGGAGCATTACTAAGTAGGGAATTTGAGGGGATGTGACCAAAGACAAGCAAAAGGAGAGACAGTTGACCCTAAGGAATGAAGACCACAGATTTACACTGGCTCCAGTCCATACGGCTGTTTGATGCTCTCTAGCAGTATGTATGTGATTAACAGGGAAGCAGGCAAGACAGCAGCATTGATCTTGGTTGGGGTTCAGCTGAAGATTGCATGGAACTACAGGTCCCAAGGAACTATGAGTATTAATGAAAGTCATCCAGACTAGATAAAGAAGGAAGAAAAGCCAAGAGGCAGTTATTGTGCTCTCTCTTGATCTCAAAGAAAATAAATGGCTCAAAAAAATGTCTTAGTGAGGATGAGAAATGGAAGAAAGAAAATAAGAGAGCTCATGGGCTAAGAGACTATGGTTAATGAAAGACACCTTAGAATTTAAGCTTTTAGAAGTGGTGTACTTATGAGGAATGTTGAGGTCAGTGTACATGGAGAATTGGAAGGTGAAGCAGGGTAGAGAGGAAGCTTACTGACATTGAGAAGGTCAGGAATCTTAAGGCCGTGGCATTGGTGAGTGAAGTGATAGTAAAGTAATTCAGGGTAATGGCAAGATTTGAGGCAGAGAGAAAGATGTGAGTTGGGAGCCAAAATCGTTAATGAAATTTGAGGAGTTACCAGAAGGTGACTGATGACAGAGATGATGGGGGTGGAGGATTAAGAGTGATACAGTTGAATGGTAAGCTTCAAGTCACCACGGATTTCTAATAGAGGTTGAGTAATAAGAACGTGCGAGTAGCACTGGAGAAGAAGAAGGATATTGATCCCTCTCCCAACACTGAGGTACGAGTGATGTCAGGAGTCTCTCCATTTGAAAGGTTGAAGAGGAAGTGATTCTTCTGATATTAAGTGTTTCACACGGCCCAAACCATAGATAGTTTACTGCAGTAAATCTCAAATCCTCACTCAGAAAGCATATTAAATTCACCTAATTTTATTTCAGTAGATTTTCTAAATCATCATCACATTTGGAATTTTCTTGAAAAGAGTGAAACTTTATAAATAAAACTGAAGTTTTATTTTTTCCTATTAAATTTTTTAACAATATATAACTCCATATAAAATCTTACCTTAAATAATTTAATTGCTTCTGTCTGTAGAGCTTCCGAAGGTAGGGTCGTCAAAGGAGAAATGAGTCCTTCTTTGCTGTGACACAAAGTAGGGTGTCTCCATATCTGAGATGCTAAACACAGAATGAAATATGAACAGGAAACAAAGAATCACTTATTTTGGCCTCACATTAAATCAGCCCTTTAGAAATTACATCATTCTGGCTTGGCTCACAATTTAAGTCATAAAGGTCATGAAAAACCTCTGATAACATTATTTTATTTCAGTTTCCAGGCCATTGGGATTCTCCTATTTCTGTTTTGGATAAATTAAAGCTAGAAGAGTTCGGTACAAATATTCTAGGCCAAAACAAGTCTACCAGGACGTTGTCATGGTGCTTAAATGTGCTAAAGAGTGGTGACCTAGGTGGGGAGATGACTGTACATGAGAGAGAGCTGGGGGAACATACAGAGAGGAGAAGCCAGAGCAGAAGGAGACAGAAAGATAAAGAGGAACTTGACGTCATTCCTAAAATCAACATTTATTAAATTCCTACACTAGACACTGCAAATAAAATGTGATCTCTATTATTAAGTAAAGCAGAGCTTAGAATCTAGGCTCTCAATGGGGAAACCTTAGCCATAAAAAAAACTTCAGTGCAAAGCAACAAATGCTATAAAAGTTTTAAATGGTAAAGTGCATTGGGATATAATTTTAACATTTATTAGGCACCTTTTATGAGACAGATGCTGAGTTGGGATGGGTTGGCTGGGGGAGCTCCTAAGGTAGGAAGGATTTCACCAAGTTGGTGGGGAATGTGAAGGAAGAAGGGTGTTCCAGGCAGAAGGAGTAATGTGAGCAAAGGCAGAGAGGTGTGACAGGATATGGACATGTCAAGGAATGACGGTGTCCTTGGAGCCGAAGAACCACAGTGAGAATCCTGGCCCATGACAAGCAAAGCCTATGAGAAGATGGGTACATCTCAGGGAAACAGGAACTCGCAAAGTGAAAACTCCATTAGGCTAAGGGAGTTAGGGCCCATTTCATAAACCATAAAGCCTTGTACGTTATAAACTTACAAGGTTCCCCTTCTATATTTAGCAATTTGCAAACGAGTTGTTCAAATTCAGATCCAACATTTACATTGTTACTTCCAGCTGCAACAGTCAGGTGATAAAGCCAAGTGTCCTTAAAAATCAAAACATATTAATAGAAATGTTAACCAAGACACAGTTTTTGATGACTTAAGGAAAAAAAACAACTTGCATAAACAGTAGAAAACTTTGACAATGAAAAAAACACTCTTAATTTTTAAATAATAACTAAAAGCCACTTAAAGAGTTCTGAAGCCAGCTTATTTGAATTGTGCTCATAGTACCTTTTCCCCATTGTTCACATTTAGAAAAGCATAAGAAAATTAAGAAAGTAACGTGACATTAAGAGACTAGAATAAATACAACCAATTAATATTCTTTTAAGAAATACAACAAATTCTATCAAATTTAAAATCTGACTCCTAGTACATACAAATAGAACATATAAAATACCTAGGAAATCCAGAAAATTTAAAGAAGGAAATAATACCCAGAAGGAACATACCTCAACATAATAAAGGCCTTATAAGAAAAGCCCACAGCTAATATCATACTCAATGGTGAAAAAGTGAAAGCTTGTCCTGTAAGATCTGGAACAAGGCAAGGATGCCCACTCTTGCCACTTCTATTCACCATACCACTGGAAGTCCTAGCCAGAGCAACAGAGTAAGAAAAAGAAATAAAAGGCATCCAAATCGGAAAGGTAGAAGTAAAATTATCTCTGTTTGCAGATGACATTATCTTATTTGTTGAAAACCCTAAAGGTTCCATAAAAACACTGTTAGAACTAATACATTTAATAAAGTTGCGGGATACAAAATCAACATACAAAAATCAGTTGTGGGGATTTCCCTGGTGGTGCAGTGGTTAAGAATCTGCCTGCCAATGCAGGGGACATGGGTTCGAGCCCTGGTCCGGGAAGATCCCATATGCCACGGAGCAACTAAGCCTGTGTGCCACAACTACTGAGCCTGTGCTCGAGAGTCTGTGAGCCACAACTACTGAGCCCACATGCCACAACTACTAATGCCCGTGCACCTAGAGCCTGTGCTCTGCAACAACAGAAGCCACTGCAAGGAGAAGCCTGCGTACTGCAAGGAAGAGTAGCCCCCACTCACCACAACTAGAGAAAGCCTGCGCACAGCAATGAAGACTCAACACAGCCAAAAAGTAAGTAAAATAAATGAACTAATTAATTTAAAAAAATCGGTTGTGTTTGTATACACTAACAGTGAATTATCCGAAAAGGAAATTAAGAAAACAATCCCAAAACAATAGCAAAAAAAAAAAAGAATAAAGTACTTAGGAATAAACTTAACCAAGGAGGTGAAAGATTTGTACCCCAAAAACAATAAAGCACTAATGAAAGAAACTAAAGCAGACACAAATAAGTGGAAAGACATCCAGTCATAGATTGGAAGAATTAATATTATTAAAATGTCCATACTACCCAAAGCAACCCATAGAGATTCAAAGTAATCCCTATCAAAATCCCAATTTTTTTTTTAACAGGAATAGAAAAAACAATCCTAAAATTCACATGGAACAACAACAGACCCCAAATAACCAAAGCAATTTTGAGCAAGAAGAACAAAGCTGGAGGGATCATACTTCCTAATTCAAAATATATTACAAAGCTACAGTAATCAAAATAGTATGGTACTGGCATAAAAAAAGACATTAGGTCCATCAATGGGCCTAATGATTCCTTCATTAGGCCAATGGGACAGAACAGAGAGTCCAGAAATAAAACCATGCATATATGGTCAACTGATTTTTGACAAAGTTGCCAAGAATACAGTGGGCAAAGGATTGTCTCTTCAATTAATGGTGTTGGGAGAACTGGATATCCATAGGCAAAACAATGAAGTTGGAGGGCTTCTCTGGTGGTGCAGTGGTTTACAATCCGCCTGCCAATGCAGGGGACACAGGTTTGAGCCCTGGTCCTGGAAGATCCCACATGTTGCAGAGCAACTAAGCTTGCATGCCACAACTACTGAGCCTGCACTCTAGAGTCTGTGAGCCACAACTACTGAGCCCACGTGCTGCAATTACTGAAGCCCATGCACCCTAGAGCCTGTGCTCCGCAACAAGAGAAGCCACCGCAATGAGAAGGCCATGCACCGCAACAAAGAGTAGCCCCTGCTTGCCACAACTAGAGAAAGCCCATGCGCAGCAACGAAGACCTAGCACAGCCAAAAATAAGTAAATAAAATAAATTTATATTAAAAAAATGAAATTGGACCCTGATATCACACAGTACACAAAGTCATTTCAAAATGGAATAAAGACTTAAACATCAGACCTGAAACCATAAAACTCCTAGAAGAAAACATTGAGAAAAAGCTTCTGGACACGGGCCTTGGCAATGATTTCTTGGGCATAACACCAAAAGCACAGGCAACAGAAGCAAAAATAGACATGTGGAATTACATCAAACTAAAAAGCTTCTGCACAGCAAAGGAAACCATCAACAAAATGCTGAGTGGGAGAAAATATTTCAAATCATATTTCTGATAAGGGGTTAATATTTAAAATACATATAAAACTCATACAACTCAATAGCAAAAAGACAAACAATCCAATTAAAAAATGGGCAGAGGATCTGAAAAACATTTTTCCCAAGAAGACATACAGATGGCCAACAGGTACACAAAAAGGAGCTCAACATCACTAATCATCAGGGAAATGCAACTGAAAACCACAATGAGTTATCACCTTACGCCTTTTAGAATGGCAACTATCAAAAACAGAACAAAACCCCCAAAAGACAAGAAATAACAGGTACTGGTGAGGATGTAGAGAAAAGGGAGCCCTGTACACTGTTGGTGGGAATGTAAATTGGTGCAGCACTGTGGAAAACAGTATGGAGTTTCCTCAAAAAATTAAAAATAGAACTACTGTATGATCCAGCAATTCTACTTCTGGGTATTTATCTGAAGGAAGTTTTGTAATATAAATGTATATAAAATCGTAACTCAAAAAGATATATGCACCCCCATGTTCATCACACCACTATTTACAATAGCAAAGACATGGAAGCAAGCTAAATGTCCATCGATGGATGAATGGGTAAAGAAAATATGGTATATATACATACAATATTATTCAGCCTTAAAAAGGAGGAAATCCTGCCATTTGTGACAACATGGATGAATCTGGAGGACATTTCTGTGTCTGGTTTCTTAGCAGTCAGGTTTGTTGCCTGCTAACAAACCAGACACAGAAAGACAAATACCATATAATACCACTTATATGATGGATCTAAAATAGTCAAACTCATAGAAGCAGAGAGGGAATGGTGGTTGCCAGAGGCTAGGGGGAAGGGGAAACAGGGTGGTATTAGTCAAAGGGTACAAAGTTGTGGTTATACAAGATGAATAAGTCCTGGGAAAAAAAAAAGATGAGTAAGTCCTAGAGATCTATCATACAGCATGGTGCCTATAGCTAACAATGTTGTATTACATACTTTAAAATTTACTAAGAGGGAAGATCTTATGTTATGTAGTTCTTATCACACACACACAAAAATAATAATTAAAAAAGAGGTTGAGAGGAAACTTTTGGATGTGATGGATAGGTTTATGCCATAGACTGCAGTGATGGTTTCATGAGCACATAATTATTTCCAAAGCATCAAGTTGTATACACTGATTATGTATATAAGGAAGAAAGAAAGAAAAGAATCCATTCTTCTGCTCCCCAAATATACTGGACTTTTTTCTTTCTATTAAAATATATATGTACATTATATTTTCAAATAGTTGAGATTATATTAAGGATGTGCTTATACTATATTAGTAAAATTCAGAAATTATAATTATCTATTTTTAATATAAAAAAGATATAAGGCTGCAGGATATTTTATCATATGGACATTATCTAATCAATTTCCTATTGTTGAACACTTAGATGGTTACTAATTTCACACCGATAAAAAAATACCATGAAACCTAACATCTATTAAGTAAAAAAGGGTGTCTGTTATATTTTTTGTGTTTGAAATATATCAGAAATAAAATTATTTTAAAAATACTATGTCCAACAAATCTATACGTAAATCTTTGATTGTACTTAACAGTCATTTGAAAATTATTACCAATACTTAATCATATTAGTCTAAATCATTCTAAATCAACCAATTAGACCTTACGTACCTTTTCATGCTTGGATCCAATCAGGAGGTAAGTCGGACCTTGGTCTTTGGGGTGGATCACGATAGTGTAATGTGTGGATAAAAGACTTCGCCCACTGGCTTCATAATCTTCATCTGAATCACAGGATCTGTCAACCTCTTCAACTTTAGCCTCCCAGAGTCTGATCTGACCTAAAGGAAACTAAAGTAAATATTAGTAATTGTTAGGAAGGAACTTTCTAAAGATTTTCCTGCTAATATTTTTCATAGTGTTTTTCATTCTTACCTTTATAAAGCATACCTTTTTTTAAATGAATGCCTAAAGCTAACTGGATTATCCACATTGTTACAAACGTAGTAGCCACAACCAACATGCCAACTGTAATACTGAAGAACAATTTGAATACTAGACATTTAACTTTTGTGGAAAAAGCAAGAAGCCACTTCCATACAGTGGTTTGGATTATTCATTTGGACCAAAATGACACATTACCTAGTCAAGCAATTCAGTCAAAATATTCATTTGACTTTTTTTCCCCACAGAATTAATCTGATTAAGTTATTGGATCAAAATGACAAGGGTAGACATGGTCTCAATACTATTCATAGAAAAAGTAACAAAGTTAAACAGCTGGTGTGAAGAAGTGTGATTAACTATCACTCTAAACCCCAATAAATGAGGAGTGTTTTGAGGCTATATACACATATATGATATATTACACATGTAATATATCACAAAAAATGCCATCATTTCTTTCATCTTAAGTGTAAGAAAAACATCCTAAAAATGATTTATATTAAATTTTACCTACTCTTTTACTGATGAAAACCATTATTTGCTGTGTAGAATATTTAGCATATTTGTTTTAAAACTTTTCTTTAATTAAGTCCATTTATTCCAGGAACACACACAGTCTGTTTCAGATGTACAACTTCTAAAACATTCGGTCAGGTTTGGAATTGCAGCCTGAAAAAGTTCATTGTAACTCCAAGGACATTTACCATCTTACATGTCCATGCTCGGGCCCAGGGCTCAGTGCTTGGACTCTCTTTTCCCATCTACACTCACTCCCCTGGGTGATGTCATCCAAGCTCATGGCTTTTGCATCAGCATGTATTAGCTACTTCCAAATTTATAACTCCTGACTCACACTAGGTCTACTTAGATGTCTGATAGCTTTTCAACGTCACTTGGTAAGTCCTCCCCCACCACCTGCTCTCCTGAGTCTCTCCCATCCCAGTTGTTCGCAACTTGATCTTTCCAGCTGTTCAGGCCAAAAAGATTGGCATTGTCACTGCCCCTTTTCTTGCTCTCATATTCCATACCCTTTTAGTCAACAAATCCTGTCAGCAAACCTTTCAAAATATACCCAGAATCTGGTCTCTTCTCACACCTCCATTGCCACACTAAACCACAATCAGCTCTCACCTGAATTACTGTAAGAGTCTTCTAACCAGTCTCCTCCTAATTCCCTTCAGACAGTAGCTGGAGTGTTCCTGTTAGACACAGGTCAGATCATGTCACTGCTCGGCTCAAAATCCTCAAATGGCTTCTCATCTTACTTGGAGCAAAAGCTAAAGTCCTTACTATGATAAGGCCCGCTGCGATTTGGTCCCCGTTACTTCCCTGAACTCATCTCCTATTATCCTCTCCCTAACGGAGTCCAGTCCAGTCACACTGACCTTCTCACTATTCCTCAAACACACCTGGCATGCTCCTGCCAAGGCCTCTGCACTTGCTGTTCCTTTGGCTTGGAATACTCTTGCCTCTTTTACTTCCTTCAAAACCTAATTAAAATGTCGGCTTCTCAGTGAGGTCTTACCTAGATATCTTATCTGCCTAAGAGCTGATTAATAGTAAAAAATTCATTCATTTGATTAAATGCGTTGTCTTTTACGAGAAACATTGCTTTTTCCCATTAAATTAATTACAGTTATTTTCTGAGTAGTTACTATGTGCAAAGCACCATTCTGGGGACTGAGGGAATAAAATGTACTTCTGAAGGAAAAATGTGAAATTAACTTATCTATACTTTCAGAAAAAGCAAGGCAGTAAAACAAAAGCAAAATAATAGGGCAGAAAATTCACATTAATAAATAAAAAGCAAGCTTTAAAAAATAGGATAAAGAAAACTAATTCTACTATGATAATACATGACAATACTATCCTAATTGTGTGCTTTAGGCATATACCTAATCATATGACAATCAAGGTTCCATCCACTCCAATATTTAAAGATGATTATTCCTTTTACCAGAGGATTTACCATGGTTCTATAAACAGTGAATAGACCGGGTGCTTTTAAATATTCTGACTGAATTTTTTAAAAGACACTGATTGAGATAGAGACAAATTGTTTCTGAAACATCTATAGCACAAAATGAAGTAAGCCCATACCGATTCACAAGCATTCTCAACACTTTTCCAGTAATTATAATGGATTTCTGTTCAGCTATCTACATTCCTCTGACTTGTTCCTTCTGTGATCAATGTTATCCATTTTTAATAAAAAGAAAAATTATTAGTAGTAGTAATAGTAGGAACATTTAAATTCTACTCTCAGCAAATTTTAAATTATTTTTCTATTTATAAAACACAAATATAGAAACTTGGTAAAAATAGAAAGTTATTAAAAAAAAAGGAAGAAAAAAATCATCCATAATTCTACTCCCACTCAACATTTTGGTATAGTTCTTTCTGACTTTTCTGCTATGTGTATCTTTACATAGATGTGCTGGACTGAGAATTATAAACTCAGAATCCCAAACTTCCTGTGGAAGGTAAGCGTGAAAGAAGAGTCATGATTCTCCTGAGACAGCTGCAGTCAGATGCCTGGGCTGATGTATCACAGAGGCTTCTCAGTAAACTGCTGAGTACCAGCTGCCTCTGTGCTTTGTGTTCAGACCGTTGGTGCTGGCTTCTCAGATCTTCAGTGGCAGCTGCTTCCCCGACCTCTACTCCCCCAACTTTTCTAAAGTTATGTATGTCCCAAATTCTGCATTAAAATTGTTAAAACTGGGGCTTCGCCGGTGGCGCAGTGGTTGAGAGTCCGCCTGCCGTTGCAGGGGACGCGGGTTCGCGCCCCGGTCCCGGAGAATCCCACATGCCGCGGAGCGGCTGGGCCCGTCAGCCATGGCCGCTGAGCCTGCGCGTCCGGAGCCTGTGCTCCGCAACGGGAGAGACCACAACAGTGAGAAGCCCGCGTACCGCAAAAAAAAAAAAAAAAAAAAAAAAAATTGTTAAAACTAGAATACACAGAGTGGCTTCTGTTTTCCTGACTGATAATTGAGTTAGGGTTATACTGAATATGCAGTTTTGTACTGTGCTTATTCTTGTATTATTTTTATGAGCATATTCCCACATTACTTCAGAGATATCACGCTCAATGGCTGCACTGTGTTAAGTACCAACACGTGAGCGATACTGAGAATAATGGCATGCATTTTAAATATGGCTAGTCAGAACTGAGAGTGCAGACTATGAAAATAGAGCAGAGAAATACCAACTGACCTACATGGTCATTGGACCAAGAAGTTTAGCCTCATTAACACAGTAAGCAGTCACAGGCTGCTGTTCTGTGGAGCTGGCATCATTGTTTTATGCAGATACTCTTGGTCCATGCTAGTTCAATTTTTTATTTTTATTTTTTGCGGTACGTGGGCTTGTCACTGTTGTGGCCTCTCCCGTCGCAGAGCACAGGCTCCGGACGCGCAGGCCCAGCGGCCACGGCTCACGGGCCCAGCCGCTCAGTGGCACGCAGGATCCTCCCGTACCGGGATACGAACCCGTGTCCCCTGAATCGGCAGGCAGACTCTCAACCACTGCGCCACCAGGGAAGCCCTAGTTCAATTTTTATAGTTTCAGTAATCCAAAGATGACATGGGGTATGCACAATGATAATTAGGTATACATTTCACATTTGGAAGATACCCATCTTTTTACTTTGAAAATGCAATAACTCAAGTTTTGGCGGGGAGGAGATTAGTTAAAAATGAACGAATGGGATAGAGATATGCAGATGGATGGATAGATAAGTGGTATCTAGAGATTCGAGGGCCTGAGACAGGACTGGATTCTTTTCCCTTCCCAGCTCTTTTTTCCTAGCTTGCTGTTCCCTTCAATCAACCTTATCTAGTCTGTCAGACCTGGAAAATATGAGAAATTGATGGTTGAAAGTGGGATAGAGGAAGACTTTTCTAGGTCTTAGAAGAAGAATTAATTAAAAGTTACTAAGGCTTATAATTAAGAATCAAAACCCCTGTAGGGGGCTTCCCTGGTGGCGCAGTGGTTGAGAGTCCGCCTGCCGATGCAGGGGACACAGGTTCGTGCCCCGGTCCAAGAAGATCCCACATGCCGCCGAGCGGCTGGGCCCGTGAGCCACGGCCACTGAGCTGGTGCTCTGCAACGGGAGCGGCCACAACAGTGATAGGCCCGCGTACCGCAAAAAAAAAAAAAAGACCCTGTAGGTCTATGATTACCTTAGTAATAAATTTTATGCAAAATTTCAACCTTATCAAAAATTCTAAAGTTTGAGCTAGCAACAGAACAGTGAAAGGGAAAACTTGAAGCCATAACAAACAAAAAATTCCTCCAATTAGCATATTAAAAATACATACATACCTTATCTTCTTGACTACGAAAATAATATAATGTTTTTCCTATAAGTGTACACCAGACTCTCTTGGAGTAGCCATGTTTTACCTGAAATCATATTTCAAAGAATTACAAATGTAGCTCAGAACTCTGACACCTTAAAGTATAGTTTATACACTTTATTTGAAGTTGTTCAGCTATCCAGTTTGCTTGAGATATAAGTGATATTCCAACTAGACTATCCAAATGCTATTTAAAATTTACCCATTATAGTAATAGCATGGTATGTTTTGCTTTGGTGATCACCATTCAACATTTAACGAATGTTTACTATATGTCAAGTACTATGCCTAGGACTAAGGATTCAAAGATGCAGTTTCACAAGTAAGTATATTTCATAGTTTTTATATTACATAGATTTCCAATAACTCTGTGGGGCTCTCTGGGTTAACACTCTAATGTTAGAAACAAGACTGAAACCTAAGAATTCTAGTGATTTCCAAAATGTAAGAGATTCATTCATTCAAAACATTTGATGCCTTCTCCAGAGTAATAATACACTGAACACATTTGATACCTTCTCCAGAAGGATACACACAAAATTGTAAAATAATAATACTAAAAGCTATTATTACATATTGAGTACTTCCTATATGTCAGGAACTATGTCAAGTGATTGGGATGGAATCTGAATCTGATTCCTGACTGAATAGTCAGAGGCTGGTCTAGATACTGGGGGGACGGATATGAATGAGACACAGTCGCCTTCCTCAAGGAGCTCACTGCCTCGTGAGGAAGACAGACAACTAACCCAGCAGCGTGCTATATATCTTCAACAAGAACACAAGGAGTTTACAAGCCTAGTTTTTTTTGTTTTTTTGTTTTTTTTTGGTGGAAGACATTCTACCAAAATTTGTACTGAATACCACAGGTTTTTCATCGTTTGGTAGCCTTATGAAGATCCTCACTGTGAGCTCCTCTCTGCCCCAGTTCTGCCCAGGTACAGGCATTGAAGATCTTTGCCAGACAGTCCCAGCTACACCCTCAAGCCTAGAAAAACACCAAAAACCCCATTCCCATCAGTGGGTAAGATTGATAGTAGGCTCTGTTGCCCCAGACCTAGAATGTAGTGAGCCTGGTTGAGTTTGCCCTATAATCCCACTACCCTGGCAGCCCTGCCAACCTCTGCCTTGAGGCTTGACCCTCTCCTGCAATAGTTAGAGTGGGCTTCAATTTGGAGTGGCCCACCACCTGGAAACCAAGACACTGGCCGGTAAAAACGAAAGCCCAACATTCCATTGTCATGCTTGCCCATGGTGATAAATACAAAGGAGAAAACTACAGCAGGAGAGAAGGAAGTGCCTGGAGAAGGAGGGACATGTTTTACAATTTAAAATAAGGCGGTCAGGAAGGCATCACCAACACTGATTCAAGCCTTGGAGGAGGTAGATGAGCTATGCAGTCAGTCACCTGAGAGAAGAACACTCCGGGCGAGGAAGCAGCAAGCGCCAAGGTCCTGAGACGGTGTGTGCCCATGTGTCTGAGACTAAGCGAGGAAGGGGAGAGGTCACTGGGGAAGGGGCAGCGTATAGGGGTGGGGAGCACACATATTTTGCAGGGCCCTTGTAATGACATAACATTTAAACGGACTGCTCTGACGGTTGTACAATGAGAAGAATATAAATTATTGCCACAACGGATTTTACAGTCAGCAAGTCACGACAGTAGAAAAGGCCTGGATTCTGAGGTCAAATGGACCAAGGCTTAAATTCCAGCTCTACCACATACTGGATGGATGATGTCCTCAGGCAACTGACTTGACCTCCCAAGTTCTGTCGTTAACATGGGATTACTGTACACCTCATTCATTGGGCTGTTGTGATGACCAAAGGAGAAAATGTAAATAAAGGATACTAGTAGTTACTCAATAAATGCTTCCTGCCTCACTATGCGTAAGGAGAAGTAAAACACATGTTTCGTTTAAACCCACAAATGCAGCCAGCCTTTGGGCTTTCCAAACTATGGTTTAAGCAAACAAATAACTCCACCATCTAACAGTTTGATGGATTTAAATGTTGCTTGAGGAAAAACAAAACAAAACAAAATGTCGCATTTGGCAAGACATGTTTCGGTTTAATTAAATTTAGAAACATATATTTACAGATAAATATCCTGGAAGTTTTAAATAGCTTGTGTTATGCAGCTTTTTTTTTTCTCCTTTTAAACAGACTCCAGAAAGCAGTCTTAGCAAAACTGAAGAATAATGCATCTGGCTATAGAGAGTATACTTTTGAAATGATTTATCTTTAAAGAGAACAATGTGTGCCTTTGAGGAACTACAAATTAATGAAGACTTCTGCCAACTTACAGTAAAAGCTGTGTTTTAAAACATAGTCTATCTTCTTATGTACATCTGATTATGTTAAGATTTCCTCCAATTCTGACTTATTCTGAAAAAATCATAATAAAACAAATTACACTAGAAGAATCCTCGCAAAGGTTTAAAGACAATCTCAAACCTCAAGGCTTTGGTGAACTAAATAGTTGAAAGAATAAATTTTTTTACCTTGCATCCATAACAAAGTTACTTATATCAGTTCTCTCTGAAACTTTGATGACAAATAGTATATCATATTCTGATTGGCCTTTGTCATCACACAAAACATAAGCTCCCATGGTCTTCTCCCCTCTCCTATATTTTCATGCCCGTAGCCTCTTCACCACAAGTCCTGCCACCTGTCTTGCTGACTTCAGCATCTAGGTAAAACTCTTGTGATAATAATAGCTAGCACTTTTGGCGTGTTTATGATGTGCCAGGCACTATTCTAAAGCACTTGACATGCTTAAATAATTTATTTAATCTTCCCAGCACCTGTGAGGTTGGCACTATTATTATTCCCACTTTACAGACAAGGACACTAAGGCACAGAGCCTCTAAGTAATCTATTCAAGGTCACACAAGTGGCAACTGTCAGAGGCAGGACATGCACCCATGCAGTCTGGCCCCTGAACTCTTGCCCTAGCCTCTTTGCTGTACTGCCTCCCTACAATCTTAACTCACAGTTCCTTGCTCTCTTCATTTCTAAAGACCTTTGCTATCCTTCCATTTTTGCCATTCATCCGCTTGGCCACACCCTGGTCCTTTTTCCTTCATTGGGAACTGCTCCACTTCTGAAATTTACATTCTACTCTCTGATCCCAACCTTCCCCCAGCTCCCACCCTCCTACTCACACCACTCCTATTCTTTGACCTCATTCAAAACTTTTAAGTCCTCCAACCCTTCCATTTTATTCCAGTTTATCGGTTCCCTCCTGGCTTCTCTTCCTTCTCCACCAACCTTGGATTTGATATTTGATCACAAAACAACTCTTGCTCTAAAACCTGTGATTATGTTGCATTCCCATGCTTCTAACAAATCCACACAACAAAATTTCACCTCCATTTGCTTTTAAGTGATCCAGTGGAGCGTGTAGGAAGAGAAAGAAGGTTACGGGAAGTTTTAAGAAATGACATTAGCCATAGTTAATAACTGTTGAAACTGGGTAATGAATATATGAAGGTCCTTTCTATTATTCCTTCTACTTTCACATGTGTTTGAAAATGCCCATAATGAAACACTGATTTAAAAATCATCATCTTGATATGCATAAAGCAAGTAAAATGTTCATTGTGGAATTTAGGTGGTGGGAATATGAGTGTTCACTGTAAAATACTCTTCCAACTTTTCTGCGTATTTGAAAATTCACATAATAAAATGTTAGAAAAAAATGACTATCCTCACATCACTACAATGTAAAGTCTCTGCTCTTATTTCTGAGCATCTTACAGAAAAATAACCAATATGAACTCAAATCACTGAAGTCAGGTGGGCCCTCGGTAAATCAATCCTTCTATCTGTCCTTGGGTATATCTTACTTCCCTTATTCTCAGTCCTTTCCTTCACTCTCATGGAACTGTCCACTGGAGTAATCTTCATCAAAGAAAACCGAGGACATCAGACATGATTTCACTCATTGCCCCACAAACTTGGATTTTCATCCTCACCTTTCTGCAAGTCCAGCCCCTCCACAGTGCCCTCCCACCATGCCCGATCACCCATTTCTTCTGGACTTTGTTCTTAACCTCCCACTTCTCTTTCCCAGCTTCCTCCCTTCAATTTGGAAACTCAAGGTATGCCTTTCCCATCTGAAAAAGTGCCTCTCCTGACACCATGTTCCCTCCCAGCTTGATTCTTTCTCATGTGCTGGAAAGTATGGGCAGTCCTCCACACTCAATACTGCACTTACTCATCACCCGGTTACTGTTCAACATACCACAAGGCACTTTCTGCCCTAGCACTTGACTGCATCTGACACTACAGATCACTCCCTCCCTGTCAACCACTCCACCCGTGGCCTCCAGGACTTAACTCTCCAGGGTCTCTTCATACATCACCTTTATGTGCCCTCAAATTTTGGGAACCGGAGTATCCCATCAACAGTCCCCTGCTCTTCCCACCCTACACAGTTTCCTGGGTGATTTCTCTTACTGTTGTGGATTCAACTATCATATCCATGCTGATAATTCCCCAAATCCTTCTCTCCAACCTAGCCCTCTCCTCTGATGGAGATTGGTGTTGCCACTGCCTGCTGGACTTCTTAACTCAGGTGTCTTCACAAGCTCTAAACATTGACAGTTCCCAAAATAACCTTTTAGTCATCCTAAACTGCTCCTGTTTTCTGAGCTCTCTATTATCTGGCACGGTCTTTCACCCAGCCATCCTTAACTCTCCCACTTCCTAGTCTCTGAATTCAGTCTAACGGAAGACTTTACCTCCTAACATTATTCAGATTCACCCTCTGGTCTCTTTCCCCATGACCAGTTCAGAGTCCCATCCTCTTGAGGAAAACCACTTCCACTTACTGTTCTTAGAACCTCCAGTTTGCTTCCCACAAATTCATCTTCCTCTCGGCAGAGTAATCTGTTAACAGCATGAATATAGCCATGTTCCTGTTACAAACCCTGAAGGGTTCCACAACACCTTCAGGATGAAGAACAAAGTCCTTAACAAGACAAAAAAGCCCTCCATGATCGGGACCCTCCAACTTTTTCTCCAAAGGACTTGCTCTTCACATAGGTGGCACTGCTTTGAGATACTGTGTCTTTTGTTCGTGCTGTCTTCTAGCCCGGGATACCTTTCCTTGTCCGTTTCCAAAATTAATTCCTACTCCTCCTTGGAGACTTGGCACAGGCAAATCTTCTCTGAGAAGTTGTTCCTGATCCCACAGTCTAAATTAGGTTTCTCTGTGACCTTAGGATGCACGTCAACAATAGTATTTTATATACATCATTATAAATATGCGGACGTCCTTTTCCTTCCCAATAGATATGAGGCTCTCTGAGGGATGGGGCAGTGGCCTATTCATCTTAATACCCTGCAGCTCATCGCCTGACATGTGGTAACTGCTCAATACATCTTTTTTAAATAAATGAATTTTTATATAGGAAATGTTCTTCCAAAGCATTAAAAGTTGCAAGAGTGACTGTCCAGAATCAAATTAGTCAAGTTCTTAATATCTACCTACATATTTATGTACTTAATAATAACAGTGTGACAGCTTGGAAAAGCCTCCTCCCCTCCAAAGTATTCAAATGCTGCTCTGCCGTATCTGGGATTGTAGCCTGAACGTGAGCTCAGAACAAGTCACTCAAAATGAGTTTTTCTCTTATAAGGCTTTGCAGGTGAAAATATGGGGGTGGACAAGCCTTCACAAATGGTAGGAAGGAAACCTAATAAGCATCCTGTCTATAAATTCTAATGGTTTAGTCATCTGATAATCACATCAACTTATACTCATTTAAAATGCAATTGTGAAATGGGAAGCAGGGAACAGCAGAAATGTAACAGGAGTGGAAATTGACAAGCCATGCCAACAATTAAAAATAAGCAAAAAAACAAAAACACTAATTGTGAAAGAAGTAACAAACCCTTAGCCATGAGATCATATTAAAGCTTAAGGGTTTGATAAACATAGCCCTTGAAACAGGAGGACACCTAGTTACTATGAATTAGAATAAGAATGTGATGTAAAGTGGCACTGTGTTCGTTGGAAAACATATATCAGCACAATACCAAGGAGTTCTCAAGCCCATCAGTAACTGAAAAAACATTTTCATGGTAATGTAATGTTTTGGAAAGAAACATAGTGCATCTCTTTGTTGAATGTATTGGTAATTTTTTTCTCCAGTCTTTGTAAATATTACTGAAGGGCGCCCACCTACATTCCCACGTTAATATTAAGTATAAATTACATGGTGGCATAGCTCATCTACAGCTAAATTTTTCACCTCTTACATAAATAAAGCACATGAGTGATGAGTGATGACGTAGAGGTTATTTTTGTGGGTAATATTTTGCATGTAAATATCTTATTGTAGTTATAAAGCAGAACTAACACACCATTGTAAAGCAATTATACTCCAATAAAGATGTAAAAAAAAAATCTTATTGTATTGTTCTAAAAGTGACCAATTGAACTCTTAAAAATTTATAAATAATATTTATCTTAGCGTAAATCAATACTTCCTCATTCTAAAAACGTTAGAAAGCAGAACTAAGCAAAAATGAAGTAAAAACCACCCAGAGATATCTAATATACCTTAGTATATTTCTTAGTCAGACATTTTTCTACAAACATGTTTACCAAAAATGGCATAACAACCATTTTTATGTACTTATGGTAATACGTTATTTTATCACCTAACAATACATCATAACCTATTTCTAAAACATTAAACATTCTTTTACAACATTTAAAATTACTGCATAGTAAAGCATTACCTGATTACATAAATATTTATTTAAAACTATGCTCTACTCTACATCTAAGTTGATCCCAGTTTTTCTTTATTATAAACCATGATGTGCAAGTAACCTTTCTGCAGTCACGGAAATGTTCTGTATCTTGAGAGAGTGACAGTAAATATGTCAAAACTCATCAAATTCTGCACTTAAGATCTGCATTTCAATGTATGTTAATTATATCTCATTTGTTTTAAATAGGAGAGGAAAAACCATGCTGTGATGGACATCCTCTTACTTAAATCTTATGCAAATTAAGATAAATTCCTAAGCATAAATTTCTTGGACTGAGATTGCTGGATCAAAGGGTACATATATATGTTCATAAAACATTTAATATTCATTCATTTGTTCATTCAAAAATATTTATTGAGTAAACACTTTAGTCAAGACATTGCCAAATTTCCTTCTAAAGTAATAAACTCACTAGCAAATTTCTTAATTTGTGTCAATACTGCATTTCATACTTTTAAAAGAGGTCCTCCCTTGATCCGATTTTTGAAAAATATCCATTATTTCTTGCTTTTTAAGAAAATTATTATTGATCGTGGAACATTTTCCCATATGTTTATCGATCATTTGTATTTCTTCTCTCTACTATCTCTACTTCTCTCTCATTGTGTCCTTTGTTCCTTCCCCTCACTGGTATTTATCCTTTACTTACTGATTAGAAAAAGCTTGTTTTTCATGTTCAAATACCTTTCCAAATCTTCTCATCGGTCTTTTAAAAATTCTGCTTAGAGAAATTCTGATGGTAAGACCATTTACTTTTTTTTTTTTTTTGGGGGGGTTGTGCCACACAGCTTGTGGGATCTTAGTTCCCCGGCCAGGTATTGAAGCTGGGCCCTCGGCAGAGGTTCTGAAAAGCTCAGTCCTAACCACTGGAACGCCAGGGAACTCACAAGAACATTTACATTTTTTATGTAGGGTAGTCAAATTTATCATTTTTCATCTTCATGGTTTTTGTCTTTGGTATCATACTTAAAACACTCTTCCCCACCCCAAGATAACATAAATACTCAGTACTTATATTCTCTGATGCCCACTTTTTATGATCGGGGGCTAATTCCATCATTGCCTGGGATACTGCTATGTATAAGAGTTCCCACCTTGGTGAGCAATCCCTTCACCGTTGGTTTGCCCTCAGGTTGGAGGAAAAGGGGGTTGGCAGCTTGTACCCGAAGAACGTTCTGTAACACTTTAATCCATTCCTCCAATATATTGGGAGAATCTGCAGTCAGATAGTATGTGTGTTTTTCAGTGGTCAACTAGAATGGGATAAGAAAGGGATAGGAAAGGAAACTCTGAAAATTTTAGGATATTAGCACTTCCTTGTCCATTCTTCAAACATCACTACCTAACATGGAAACAAACATGCTGAACCTTGAATCCTAGGTTCTAAATAAATGATTCCATAAATCACGTAGCATATTTTAACCACTTTGTGAGAATGACAGTTAACTTTTTCTGAAATAATTTTTTTCACTTCTGTTTACTTCAAAACTCTTTACAGTATTAAGCTTTGGGGTCATGATTTTTTATCTCGTTTACTCATTACATTTTCCTTTTCTCCCTTAAATGTGCTACAGGTTCCTGGTTGTTGAAATGAGGAGCAGAATGATTTCAGACTGTAATAAAATAACAGACTTTAAGCAAATAAAGAGAAGCTATTTGTTATGGAAATGAAGAAATCAATTATAAATAAAATAAGAAAACCTATACGGCAGAAGAGGAATTCTTAAACATGTAATCAGATATTATGAACTCACAATTTCTCAAGTTCAAATTAGCCACATTTCAAATATTCCAAATATTTCAGGAGCCTACAAATGATTCTTATCTGCCATGCTCCAAGACAAAGGTTTCCCTGATTCTCCTTTCTACATTTTTGGGCAGTCCTCATCTATTATCCACTGGAAACACTGATAATGTACCTTTCTAGTAAAATATTCTATTCTACCCTCCAAAGGAGCAAGATAAGAAAATAATGATTATTAAAGGCATTTCAGATATAAAGCATCTGAATTTTAAATCACACATACCAAACTGTCTCGATAGCTTGTTTTTTTTGTTTGCTTGTTTTAATTTAACAAAGGTTTCTAGCAAGACTGGCATTACGTGTGGGTGAAATGGTCAGCAGCTACCTCTGCCATGTGACTCAGTGGGAGTCAGGACAGCCCCTCTGCTCACCAATAATATCCTTCCCACTTTGGTGTTACAGCCTCTGAAGTTCATAGAACTGCCATTTTCCGGTTCTCGATTAAATTGCAAACATTTCTGAATTTAATAGTACATTAAATTATGAATATCTTGTTGGGAATTCATTTATCAAATAACCCTCCCCTAAAATAGCTTGACAGTTTGAGAACAGAAAATGGCTGGGAGGGTTAGTGTGGGCAAAGAACCGTGTAAAGGATCAAGGGCAAAGAAAGTGTAGAGGAGAGTTACTCACATATACTCAGGTCAGGTTATATTATAGTTTTAACTAAGAAGTCCTAGGGTTTCACACATTTGGGGGGCATCAAACTGACCCCAAAATGGAATAAACAAACAATTGAACACGCAATTTCCACTCTATTAGCTTACGTAATTGAGAACTGAGCTTTGCATGATACAAAAAAAGAAAAAAAAAAGTACCTGAACTGTTTGTTTGTTATCTCCTCTTAAAATGCTGCAGGATGCACTAAGTTCAATATGGCCCTGGGGTTTTCTGATTACATCACTCTGTATGAAAGGAAGAAAACCAATGCAAAGTGATTACCTATAATAGTCATAATAAGAAATGCTTTGTCTAATTAATTGCATTACATGGAAGAAAATCAATCAGGAGTCTGATTTATAGTTTGAGGAATTCAGTTCTAAATAACAAGCAATTTCCACTCACCGGAGATTTGTAGTAAAGTAATTCACCACCTTTAAGAACAAACCATCTCCGCTTCCAAGTCTTGACTTTACCACTCATTTTTAATAAGTAGCCAGATTTTTCCAGTGGTTCCTAATTAAAGAGATTTAAAAAAAATATTTAAGTTTCCCTCTGGAGGCTCAAACTAACAGATACATTTAATGTTTAAAAAAAAAAACTGATTCAGTGTTTACATTTTTCCCATTATCACTGGAAGACAAGCAAGTTTTCGGGAGCTTCTGCTCTGGCTGTGAGCACTCTACGTCTGTGGAGTAAGCATCTGGGGGAATAGCATAATCACTTTCAGAAGCCACAGAAGAGAGAGACACACCTAGATGAATAAAGAAATAAATCAAGTCAGTATTTAGTAATTGGGTGGTCCAAATGCTGACTGTCAGGTTTCTTAAGAAATACATCTAATCCCAAATCATAAACCTTCCTAGACTAGATGTAGTCCATACCTTTGGCCATGAAGTACCTTTAGAGCAGAAAACAGAACTTAAGCGTAAGGACTATCATGCAAATCTCCAAGGAAGTTAAAGGAACATAAATAATATTTTGGTATGATTATAAGCACAGCTATTTTTACATATATAAAATGTATGCAGTAGCCTAACTATATCTTTTATTAGGGATTAAAAATATGTGTATTTACATATTGGCATGTAGGCAAACAAATGTTGAACCTTAATTTATCAAGATTTGTACAATCACACTTTACTGCACTTAATTTTTGTAATCATTTTTTTAACATCTTTATTGGAGTATAACTGCTTTACATGTAATCATTTTTAAAGTAACATCACATTAAGAAAGACACACAAGTCCAATACTACTAGTTTATAGATTTTGAAAATCTTTCATAAAAGAGATGCAATAAGACTTAAAGATATAAACAGACTATTTCATTTGCCAGCAGCTCTAATGTAAAATTCAAGGGAGCATTTTTCACAATAATTCACTTGCCATTTTAGAAAACAACTTGTAAGTTGCAAGCCACATTTGGAGAGTCACTACAATTGGAGATTTTGAAAATATTAAATAAAATCAAGGACTTAAGTCATTATTCATTACAGTATGTGGCAATTTTTTAAGTGTTTATTAACATTTAAGGGAAACATTAGGACAATGTCACTATATTATTCCTCTTATTTATTTGACTAAGATAAGTAATGGCTGTGATAATAGTAATATCTTTATTTTTCAAAGAGTAACAGAAATTTAGATCTACAAAGGACCTCAGAGATCATCCTGGTTCATGCCCTCATTCTCTAAGGAGACTAAGGTCCACAGATTAAAGGATTTGTCCAAAGTCAAACAGCTAGGCAGAGGCAATGCTGGACTGCAAATCTCAGGCTCCTAGCCCCAGGGTGCTAGGGACAGAGCAGAGAACAAAACGAAGAAATTTCTGCCCTCATGGAACACAGATTCTAGTCGGGGGAGACAGACAAAAATCAGGGAGCAAATGCCATGGAAAAATAAAATGTAGAGTGGACTAAAGGGAATTAAAAGAGCTAGCAGTTAGAGAAGGGCAAAGGACTACATTTGAATGGTGTGCTCTGGGCAGATCTCCTTGAGAAGGCAGTGTCTCAACTGGAGGAGGCAAAGGAACATCTGGGGCAAGAATACCAGGTAGAGCAAACGATCAGTGCAAGGTCCTGAACTAAAGGAATGAATGGCATGTGCCAGGAACAGCTAAAGGGTCTGGATGGCCAGAGATGAGTAAGAGAGAAGAAAGGAGGAGATGAGGTCGAAGACATCAAAGAATCACATAACATGTTATAGTCTTTGTAAGAGGTCCTTGCAGTGTTTTGAGCAAAAGTGTGATATAACCTGATTCTGGCTGTCAAGGGGGCAAGGTCATATAGCAAAGGGACCGATGGAAGCCCAAAATATTAAACCTATGAGAGCTGAACAGCTCCTGTTGAAGCTGAGGGGTTTGGGAGTAGCTAGGGGTTCCATGGAACACAGTTTGAAAACCAACATACTGTGCTGCATTAAAGGCTTTTGTAAAGTACAGATGTCATTTAATGTGACTGGCTCTCTCAGTCAAAGAGAGAGCCAAAAATTTCTTCAAAATCTACAAAAATCGTAGACATGCCCAAAGTAAGTTTTTGTTGGTTTCCATCTTAATATCAGATTAACCACCATATTTTTTTTTTTTTTTTTTTTTTTTTTTTTTTTTTTTTTTTTTTTTTTTTTTTTTTTTTTTTTTTTTTTTTTTTTTTTTCTTTTTTCTTGCGTTATGCGGGCCTCTCACTGTTGTGGCCTCTCCCATTTGCGGAGCACAGGCTCCGGACGCGCAGTCTCGGTGGCCATGGCTCACGGGCCCAGCCGCTCCGCGGCATGTGGGATCTTCCCGAACCGGGGCACGAACCCGTGGCTCCTGCATCGGCAGGCGGACTCTCAAGCACTGCGCCACCAGGGAAGCCCAACCACCATATTTTTAGATATATTCTTCTGCCATTTAGCAGTGCAACAAATTTAGCTGAAATAAGTCTATCCTATAAATTATCCAAAATCACACAGTAACTGTAAAAGAAGAACCTAAATTAGGTTAAATTTAAATTAAACCAAGTATCTCACTTTATTCCTATAACGAAGTGATCTCTCTTTTACAGATAAGGTTAAAAAAAAAAAACAAAAAACAGAACAAAACAAAAAAACCCACTGTCTTGTCTGGAATCACAAAGAGAATTTAGAAGAGAATTAGGACTAAAATATAAGCACCTTAGTCCTAGGTGAATACTCTTTTCACTATGAGTGGAAGGCAGCACAGATTTTTTTTTTAAGTCCTATTATAGAGATAAAATTCCCATTAAATATTCTGAATTTTTTGGAGTTGTCTTGTATGCCTGAGACTCTCCCTTACCTCGTTTCATTGCTCTGGGACTGCCTGGCCCACTCCGACTGCGAGAGTCTGACTCTGAAGTCCGGGAGCTGGATCTGGAACTATCTTCTTCCTCTGACCCAGAGGAGTCATCCAGGAATGGGTTGCTGCTTATCTGGGTCGCCTTCTGAAGAAAAGCAAAACAGCCTCCCTGTGTCCATCCTTAAAGTCACCACTCTCTTTAGGTATAGAATGTTTTACCAGAAGTTATGGAATAAGATTTTTTAAGGAATACAAGAAAATATTTTGCCATTATCAAAGTCACGTTGTTAAATCCCAAATTCCAATTAGCAAGGCATTTGTCAATTATAAAAGATTCCTAAGAACATAAGCCTGTTAATACCTGACGATACTTTTTTTCCTGACACTTATTTTAATTAGGTACTTCACACAAAGGAGGGGAACCCTGGCAGTGATACAAAGATCTTTCTATATTAGGAGTTTTCATTACATCATTAATACTATTTCCTTTAAGCAATTAAGAGCTATGGAGGGGGTGGAGACTCACATGTAGCATAACAAAAACGGAGCATATCAGACCTCTAATACTCCAATAAGAATAAATATCTTCTCTAGATCTTTCCATTTCTTCTCTTTTAATAATATGCTAGTGTGAACTTCTAAAACTCCCTATAAAGGGACAGTCCATGTAAAATGTCAAGAATGGAATCTGGAGCTTGACTAAACAGTTTCCTTGATTCATCATGAGGAGCCCCACATGTTTAACAGTAACAATAATGAGTTACCCCTTTTAAAGTTGTGTACACTGGGGTTGTCATATTCTTGTATATCAGTGATGTATAAAGTGCTGATGTGGTATAGGAAAGCACTGCAACAGAATCTGAAACAGAAAACAAAACAATTAAGAAAACAGACCTTCTAACTAGTGCTTATGTCTATTTCTTATGAATGTGAATTAGCGAAACTTCCAATTAAAGAGAAACTGGATGAACATACAATACTCATTACATAGTCTACCTGAAGAATTATGGCATTTATGGCAGTTTTAATTATACACTCTCTTACATGGTTCATTACGTCCTCAGGTGTGCTAGTCCCCCAGCTAGACTGTAAGCTCTTTGAGAGCAAGGATCTTAGCTTTTATTTCTTTGGCATCTCCATCCAGCTCACAATGGGCAGAAATGAGCACAAACACCTGCTGACTGATTCAGTGAGCAGTACCCTATGAAGATATTCTCTGACTATTCAGAGACCTATTACTGACACGTGTTAAAACATCGTCACTTTTAAACCTTTATCAGGTGAACCTCAGATTGAAAGGTTAGAATACATTTTCTGAGTGGCAAGAACAGAGGATAGCTGAAAAGGAATAGAACAACAATAGTCACCTCTAAGATACAGATCAGAGGTAGGATAGGGAGGGGGCCAGTAGAAGGAACCACAGAAAAATTTTTCTTTTTATTCCAGACAGTTCTCTGTTGTTTGGTTTTATTTTTCATAATGAACATGCATTGTTTCTATAATAATATTTTGAAAAGATAAAGAAAGGAGGAATGTGTTTTAAACTCTGGAAAAAGAAGACATAGAGATGAATAGTTTTACAATTTTAAACAGCTGAAACTCCACAGTTTCTTAGCTTTAGCCTCTTTCGGGTAAAAACATGAGGTACTTGCTACATTAAGAGTTGAACATCTATGTGCCCCTATACTGAGTAACATGAATTTCAATTTTAAAATATAAATCAGCAACCTCAGAAAGCATTTTCTGGAAGTTGGCAAAGTTGTATTTTTTCCAATGACTTTAGACAGTTAGGAAGTTCTTGGCTAATGAAATGGCAATATAAAATCACTTATTTTTTTAAACATTTTTTATTGTAGTAAAAAACACATAAGATAAAATTTACCATCTTAACCATTTTTAAGTGCATAGTTCAGTTAGTGTTAAGTATATTTACATTGTTGTGAATCAGATCTCCAAAGCTTTTTTATCTTGAAAATCTGAAACCCTATAGCCATTAAGCAACTGCTCCCCTTCCCCTACTCCCCCTAACCCCTAGTAACCAAAACTCTGCTTTCTGTTTCTATCAGTTTGACTATGTCAGATATCTCATATAAGTGGACTCATACAGTATTTGTCCTTTGTGACTGCTTATTTCACTTAGCATAAAGTCCTCAAGGTTCACCTGCATTGCAGCATGCAAAATCACTTACTTTTATTAACATTCTCCATATTGAAGGCCTCAGACATTCGAATGCCTGATTTGGCTACAGCATAAATTCTGCTTTCCTAATGTAAAAGAGAGATTTAAGCTGGATATTTAAAGCAAAGAAACAATTACTTTCAATACACATTTTTTCATTTGTGCTTCATTTAATTGTCACCAGAGTACAGAATTATTATAAAACTGTCACCAGTGCCAACTAAAATATGCCACTGCGAACAGCACTGCAGAATTTTCTTCCATCCATTAGTCACTCCATTATTTATCTTTGTTCCCAAATTTTTGCTTGGTATTTTAAATTCTTTTGACAGACAGGAAAAAAGTAAGAGAAAGCTTATTCACAATCACTGACTATTCATAAATACCACCATTAATATTCCACCATTTCACAACATGGTCAAAAAAAAAAAAAAGGAAAACTCTGAATAGCTGTAACATGAAGCCAGAAACCATTTATTATCATTGACTAGACACAAATATTATCTTTAATATTCTACCATTCTAGAATATGGTTAAAGAAAAAGAGAAAGCCAAAACTTGAAGTCAGAAAGCACACACAAAGTAACATTTAGTGCTATCACCTTCCTATCTCAATTTACATTTCAATGAAGTAGAAGAAATACCTGAGGTCAAATAATAAGTGAATTTGAGAATTGCAATGGAATTTACAGGATCTTGCTCCAAAAGTAGGTTGTTACTTTGCTTTCTCTTCTTCTCTGAGAGAGATTTCTGAAACGGGTACTGGAAGGCTATTGGCCCTGCCCCCTCTGAGAAAAGGGACTCTAGGTTGTTCCTAATGCATAGATCACCATGTCCTGAACTTTGTAACACACCTAACCTGGACAGTTATCTGGATCGGGGCACAGTGGGCAACTAAGGCAGTCCTCTTTGGGACTGAGCTAGCCGGGGGCCTGTGAGGCAATGGGCAGGAGATCTCTAACCATCTGAGACACTTTAGATTGAAGAGTGGCTGACTGAATGAACCACTCTCACAGCTTCTTTGAGAGCGTGATGGTGAGATACACAGAGAGAGACAAACAACAGAGTGGACAGAACAAACAGACATATAAAAATAAGGCAGTAAGTGAGGCCCTTACAAGCCATGAGAAAGCGAAGGAGAGTAGTTAGCAGTCATGAGAGAAGCTGACAGTCACTGTAGACAGGAGAGGACAAGCTGAGCCATGGGACCAGGGACAGTGGGTATCACCTGTTTTTCTAAGGAGTTGACCATCAGAGGTGCTCCTGAATCTTTACATGCTGTCCTGCTAGAGTGACTACTGTATTCTGGAATGATATTCCAGTTCAATAAGAATGGGCTATGCCTTAAAGTAAACTCTTAAAAATCCTTAAACTCTCATAAATTGAGGTGACTAGAATGTATCTCTTTAACTTGAAACTTGAACATACCCAACAAGCAGAAATAAAACCTCAAACTTGGCGAGTTTGCTAGAAGGCTTTTGCAAAGAGGTACTACTTTTTCAGGACTGGATAGTTTCAGAAGGCAAGAAGAGAAAAAGGCAAAAAAGTAGTAAAAATGGTTTGCCAAATAAAATGAAAGTCTAACCTAAATCTCTGCCAATCTCAACATAATGAAAGAAGCAAAATTTCAACTCCTAACTGCCTAAAGGGTAACATAATTGGAATTCCAGAGATTCACATGCCAATAATGTCCATTTTTTATGCTATCCAGAGTTTAGTAATAAACTGCAGGTGGTTTCACGTGGACTTTGCAATGAAATGTTCTTTTAAAAGTAAATAAGAGCAGATACATCTCAAGGTCTGAATTTACACTAGGAAAACATAGTTGCCTTCATTTGCTTAAAATTGCATTGGTCACTAAATAAAAAATAATAACAGAACATGACTCCGAAAACCAAAAAATCCCACAACCCAGATGATTCTCTGGAGGCCAAAGGTTAAATTATGTCAATATGTGAAGGAAAACTTCAATCTACAAAACAGATCATTTCACTTTGTTTCAAATATAAGAAGAATTTTTTTTTTAAATCTAGAGATTCCTAAGAAGAATCACACAATTAATGGGTTAATTATTATATTAATGGCCAATGTTTCAATGGAAGAAATTTCAATCTATTCTAGATACACAGGAAGATGCTTTTGCTTAAAGCAATAGATTTATAAGTTCATGAAGAGTAAAATTAAATTCCTCTTAAAGCCAGTCAAGTAAATACTTAAAGTTCAGAACTTGATGACCAGCAAGTGTCCTCATCCAGAATTTACCCACAAGTATTATATGGTTAGAGAGAGCTCTTCTTCCAATGTTCACCCCAATTGTTTCCTTCCATGTGGAGGGAGCTCCAAAAATTGAACATTTCTGATCTCTAGCCAGTGATTCCTAGAAGGAGAAACCGGACATGCAAAGCCCGGCACCTTCCCCTCTCCTTTCTACTGTGCAGGAAATAACCATTTGTTCTTTCTCTAGACTGTAAGCTTTAGAGGAGCTGGGCCTCACTGGAGGCAGCCTGTGGTGGCTGGTCAAGCGCTACCTGGGCCTGGGTGAATCAATCTATAGCTTTTTCCCAGGTGCAGTACTTGCTCCTTTGCCCACCAATTCTCTAAAATCCGTTTCATCAGTAATAAAGGTAACATTTTGACCTTGCTTTGCCTTACCCTTCTCTTATTTCTCGACTGGTTCAGGGGAAATTGAATTCTAAAAACTGGGAATTGTCAGAACAAAGCCGGACTGGAAAAGAAAGAAGGAGAAGTAGAGTAAAACCTGAAAATGAGCGTTGAGCAAAAACGAGTGTGTGTGCGTTGCACACAACACATAATTTACCCAAGAGGGAAACCGGTGCAGGGGAGGAGTTGGAGGTTTGCCACAGGCCGCCTTCTTTGCTGAGTTGCAGGTTTCCTGGTCGTCTGAACACGGGGACTCCAGGGAGCCGTAGGAAAATAATCCATCAGCACAACTAGTGTCCATAGTCTCTAAAATTTCTGTACTGTCGCCATCAACTAGATCAAGATCTGTTTCCTGAGGTCTCAGTGGCCGGATCATGCTTATAGCATTTCTGTTTGTACCAAACATCCTGTCGGAACTTAACTGTGGCTGGCTTAGGTGTCTTTTGGCTAGAGCTACACTTAAGCTGAAAACATTAGGAACCCTTAATTTGGGAAGTGGCAGGTTTGAGGGGGGCACTAGTTCTGTGCCTTTTCCAGTGAGTGAGTTAGGATGCTTTGGACTCAAAGCTGGGGTCAGAATAGGGCTTGGGGTGTTGGCTTCACTCGATGAAGATGAATAATCCAGTCTCTGAGACTGAAATTTTTTATTCAGTTCGTCTGAGGAACTATCGTGCTCCTTTTTACTTGATTTGGAATTTCCCTTTCCGAGAGGACTCCACTGTGCCTCCTGTTGCCAAGAATACAGCTTCTTGTGTTCTGGTCTCTTTATGCCAAAAGTCTCTTCTTCAAATATAGAACTGCTGTCATCAGAGGCTGTCAGATACGTCTCACTGCCCATTCTGCTACACTGGACCCCCTCCTCTGATGTGTGGCTGGAAAGGGTGGACGTGTACCTGGACTTGGATCTTCCTTTGCTCCCGTCGTCCTCATCGGAACTCCAGTCACTCCCAGGAGCCCCAGAATTCTGAGATATGCCACCATCCGTCACAAAGCTTGTCCTTGTTTTCTGATTCTGCTCTGAGACACAAGGCACTTGATGCAATGTTCTCTGAGCTCGGTTGTTTTCTTGAATTTGGTTATCGACAAACTTTCCTGGTATTTCCATTTCTAGAAAAGCATACATTATATTGGCATGCTGCCTTTAATCATACAATCTTTTTGTATGTTTAGCTTTATATAACTACATTGTACAAAATGGAATTTCCATATGAGTCAAATTAATTTACATTATCCTTTATTAATCATATGCCTTTTTTAAACACGTTTGAAAACTACAAGCTTTCTATAAAACACTGAGCCCTTACACTTCAATAGAATAATATCAAAATGAAACTGCTTTTTACAAAGAAACATGAAGGAAAAAAAAACTGACAATAGCCTAGGGCAAGATAATACAAGAAGCAAAATGAAAAATAAGGCAACACTGACTTAAAAGCAGCCACTAAAAAAATGAACACCATTAATTATATTTTAGAAGCAAAGACAATGACACCCTCTTTCTACTAAACTTTAAAATTATCATAAATAAATTAAAACATAATAAATATAAAGCTATAGTTTAAAAAAAAGAACTTTGTTCCCAAGCTTCACTACATGAAATATGCAAAACCGTAAGGAAAACATACACAAAGAAAAGCTTTATTCACTCTACTTTTGGTTTAATCATAAATATAAAATATGTCTTTACAATAAAAAATAACAGTCTTTAAAAATATCTTTAGATATGCCTTATTACTGTTTATAACATAATTAATAGAACGAACCATTGACTTTATAAACAGTGAACTAAAAATTTAGATTGAAGAATACAAAAGAAACTTTGAAAACATGAAAATATAGATAGGACCTTCATAATTAAGGATACAGAGGCTGAATAAACAAACTCCACAATTTGGTATCAGGCAGTTTGTTAAATTTGCAAATGAGCAAGAACCGCAGTACAGGCAACCTCAGCTGTTCCGAGCTGTACTCAACTATTAGAAAGTGGGAAAAAAACTAAAATGACTTCTCAAAAAAGAAAAAAAAATCCATGTAATGGCATGAAAACAAGTACCAAAGGAGCCTTCTGAATGGAAAAACATTACGTAGTTTTCAGAGTTTCATAACCAAGCATAGAGACAGTTCTTAGGGCTATAATTTTTCTCCTTTGGAGGAAGGAAGCAGGAACTGAAAATAGAGAAGATACAAGTTCAAGTCTTTCAAAAATATTTGGGAAAAGTCATACTAGTGGTGGCAAAGCAGCAACTGCAAAATTAAGCAAAATTTAGAGGGGCTTTAAGACTAAAAGAAGGGTAGAAATCTGCACACAGGTCCAAAGTTTAAACATCTGGCAAATATTTTCCTCTTTGAGGCAATAAAGGGAAAATCAAAGCAGTTACTAAATTGTCACCTGGGGTTCTTTTTCTTTATAATTCTGCTGTGTCACATTTAATTTCATATTGAATATTAGATAATCTTTTTATATTTTAAATAAATAATGAATAGAAAGTTCATACTTCTAAAACTCAGTTAAAACAAGTAGGTATGACTGTACATTTAAAAATTTTAACTATTACTGCTACCTATTGCAGGAAAAAGTATCAAGAAGGGAAAACCAGTTTTTCCTATAAATTATTGGCAGAGAGTCTCAAAAAACACACAAGATAACTAGATACACAGAGTTAAATGCTGTTCTGCTCTTCAGAAATAGTCTCATAAAACATCAAGTTGTCAGGAAAAAAATAAGGAAAATTAAGCTATCTTTGCATTAATCTTAGCAAATGATTTTTCCTTTTTTAAAAAAAAGTCAAAGTAAATTCCTCTAGTCCATAAATACCTTCTATGTCTTTTCCTTCAGTGAACTCAGGTTCTTTAGATGATATCTTGCTCGTTTCCTCAGATTTTACAACTTGAGGAGGACTCCTTGCTCGGGATAAAAAGCACCCAAAGGTCAGACTGCTCAGATGCTGGCCTTCTGTGAGCTTTGGTGTGGAGACAGTGGACAACTTCTTTCCTTGAACTTCTGCAAGATCATTAATCAAAATGAAGATCTGAATTTTTTATAACGATTTGTTAAACAGAGAACCAAAGCATATAAAAACGTGGACAAATCACTCCTTGTACCAGAAAAAAGCCTGAAGTTCATCTTTATTTATGTATAGGAACAATGACTCCTCAATGTCTAGCATCACATGCCAGTGTTTAAAATCTGTTTATATATTCTGAATGCACAAACTATTTTTTAACTGCAAAGAGAAGCATTTCTAATCCCTTTAAAAGTAGTTAGTTCTCAAACAAACAGACCAAAATCCAGATATAAACAACTAGGAAGTTTAGCTTCTTGCAATGTCAACTATTGGTAAATACCAACCAAGTACTAGTAAAATCTGATTGTTTGGTATTGCTACTAATAGTGAGAAAAAAGGGACTGAGGTCTTGGTTGCCAAGACAACCCAGGAAAATTTAGATGATCAGTGGGGCAAATATCACATGATCACTGGAATAACTTTTGCTTATCTTAGTTTTTATTTATTTATTTATTTTTTGCGGTACGCGGGCCTCTCACTGTTGTGGCCTCTACCGTTGCAGAGCACAGGCTCCAGACGCGCAGGCTTAGCGGCCATGGCTCACGGGCCCAGCCGCTCCGCGGCATGTGGGATCTTCCCGGACCAGGGCACGAACCTGTGTCCCCTGCATCGGCAGACGGACTCTCAACCACTGCGCCACCAGGGAAGCCCTTATCTTAGTTTTTAGTGTGCTTCTCATAAGAAAGCAGATGAAGGGACTTGGTCTATGGTGACCACAGCATGGAGAGCCTTAATCACTTCCTTAAGGAACAAAAAGGGGAGGGGGCAGTGTCTAGATTGAGAATTTAGACAGCTAGGTGAGTGATTAATCGAGCACCTAATCATGGGTTTAATTCAACTTCTAGGAATTGTAACATTGCTGCTTGTAAGATCAAAAGCATGGAGATCCCAGTGATAGTAAGAAAAGTTTCCAAAGAAATTAAATTCTCAACTACAGGAGAGCACCAAAGGGTTAAGTTAAATAGCAACTGATAATTGAGTATAGAAAAATACCTTTATATAGTGTATTCCTTCAGATATATCTTTTAATATTTTCATGTTGCCATCGCTCACAGAACTAATTCATGATATTTTAGTAACCACATATACACATATATATTTTTAAAGTATTATATTATATCTACATATGTTGTATCTGTTCTTCTCCAGTAAAGCCGAGGTTCCAAGGATCAATAATCCTTAGTCTCCAAGACTAAAAGGCTGTCAGTGAAGACTAGAATTGCAAGTTAAGAATATCAGGGAAACAGTATTTGGTGAAGGGGCTGAATACATCCAGTCTATTTCAAAGAGAGTGAACATCACAAAGATCTAAAACTTTAATTATAAACATGGAATTCCAGATCAACTATAGGAACACCTATTTTTTTCATCATATAGGTAGAGGAAATGTGTGATGTGTGATATAAGAAATAGATTTTGGTCTTCATCCATGGTTCCTGGCACACCGCTCCTAAAACCCTTGGAATGTCCTAAGAGTGATAAAAGTGTCTTTTGTTTTCGTAACAAGCCCTTTTAAACACATCTGAGTATGTATTAATGAGGTGATTTCTGGAAAGCCGCTAGATGGCCTCAGGATGGGGCCTGGTTGCCAGGGGAACCAACCAAATCATGAGAGGGTTGGGAATTTCAGCCTCACCCTCCACCTCCTACCTCTGACTTCAGGTGAGGAAGAAAGGGGCTGGAGGTTGAATTAATCACCAATGGCCAATTATTTCATCAACCATGCATGCCTACATAGTGAAACCTTCATAAAAACTCAAAAGGATGGGGTTCAGGATGCTCCAAGTTGATGAACATGTGGAGGTGCTGGGAAGGCGGTATACTTAATGAGAGCCTGGAAGCTCTGTGCCCCTTCTCCCGTATCTTGCCCCATGCATCTCTTCCATCTGGCTGTTCCTGAGTTACATCCTTTGTAATAAACCAGTAATCTAGGAAGTGAACTGTCTGACTGAGTTCTGTGAGCCTCTCTAGCAAATTATTGAACCCAAGGAAGGGATCTTGGGAACCTTGGATTTACAGTCTGTTGGACAGAAGCAGGGATGCCACCCTGTACTTGTGACTCTGTCCGAAGTGTGTGTTTGGGTGTATGTTCAGTGCCTGCTCAGAGGTGCTGGTGGGAAGTTTTGTGGGGGTGAGGGATCTGGTGTTATCCAAGTAGATAAGTCAGAATTGAATTAAATTTATAGGACATCCAGTCGGTGTCTGTTGAGAACTGGAGAATTGCTTGGTGTGGGAAAAACTTCCACACATCTCATGTCAGAAATATTAAGAGAGGGAAAACAGGAGTTTTTTCCCTTAACAAAATGACAGCAATAGGTACTAACAGGCAGTAGACAAAGTGCTTTCACATGTCCTATAATCAACAACCCCCCATGAAACCAGTAAGACACTATTACAGTCACCATTTTACTGATGTAAAAAAAAAAAAAAATTGGAGATATAAACACAGCTATTAAATTGTAGGGCATTAAAGTTGACTTCAAAGTCCAGGTTCTTTCTACCATGCCAGTATTTTTCCAGTGCATTCTACGAAACCCCACGGCTTTATGGAAATGTTGCAGAGGATGCAAGAAATGAAAGAAGAGTCATGGGTGAGACCAAGTCTGCAGAACTCTGGACCCATCACCCAGTACAGGTTTTTTACCTATTTTATCCCTTGAGATTCTATAGGAAAAAAAACTGTTTAAAAAGGGTTCTGCTGCTAAATAAAAGTTTAAAAAGCACTATACTAAGCCATGGGTCTAATAAGCACAGGCTATCCATACACCCTGCTGACTTACCTCCTCTTCAGCTCAATGTGCACTTGAGTGGCTATCATACGAATAGCATATTAAGTGAATCTCTATCATTAACTCTACCACCCATCCTTTGGCTTTAAAGTTAAAAAGAAAGGAAATAGCTCTAAGCATTAGAAAATGCAAAGAGTTTATTTGCATTATAAAATTCTGCTCAAAATATTCAGGTTGTAAGAATTTCAATCACCATTGAGCACAATGTTACAAAATGAAAACAAAAAATAACAAGACTGATTTTTTTTAAAGTAAACATACCTGAAATTAAACGTTCAAATTACCCCCTTTGGGTTATTCACTACTGTCTAGCTGTGCTAATATGGACATGTGGCTATTTAAATTCAAATGAATTCAAATTAGATAAAATGTAAAATTCAGTTCCTTAGCTGTGCAAGTCATATTTCAAGCGCTCAATAGTAAAATTCTAGCAAATAAATCCAACTAGGCTATCTTAGTCAAAGTGCACATACCTTGTAATTTTGACTGTATTGTTCTTATCTCTTCGGTTTGGTTTTGGTTGATCAAACGAAGATTCTGATTCTCCAGTTCCAGCTAAAAGAACATAATGGTTTTCTTTTACATAAGGATAACATTTCTAAAATGTACTAGTAAATTATAACATTTAGAAAATGTTAATATCTAATTAAACAAGAAAAATACAAAAGAAATAAGTAAATATCAGATGAATTTATCAGCACAGATTGTCAGCCTAGACAATTATGGCTTTAATATTTGTTTCCAGAGCTAAAAGTTTTAAATGTTTTTCACCCCTATGCCTTTTCCACTGTAAAGTTATTTTAAACCAAATTATTTTGGCATTTAATCTGCCATATTAACTAAATAACGTGTACTTCTCAGATACTGAATATATTAATTTTATGAGATATGCACATATATTCTCTAATTATTTAAAGTTAACTAATTAGAACTAGTCAACTAATTAGAATGAGGCTACTTAACACTGATTACCATGGGTCTACCAATATTTTTAATTTTAAAATTACATTAGTCATTAAAGTGAAAGCTACCTATCTCACATTTGCCAAAAGCCAGCAGCACCACCAACTGATCAGAATTTTGTTTCATTCCAATATTCTGATGACTTATCTATTCAAAAGAAGTAAAAGGTAAAGAAAAGACAAATATGGCAATAAATACCTCATTCAACTTAACTGTTACCCATTCTTTGATCTTAGCTGCTTTCTCTTCTATTATTTTAGCTTCTTGAATCCTTATTTGTTTCTGAAATAACATTAGCAGTTGGTTTAGTTCAAATAGAAGCTGACTGGTATGGAAACGTTACAGTCATGGATATAAAAGGCAAGTCCACTTAAAACCTGTTTCCAAGTTAAGACGTCTGCCTTTAAATTACCAAACATAGGAAAAAATAAGAATGGCTGTCCAGCAGAACAATAATAAAAGCGTACATAAATATTTCTAGCTTTAACATCTGCTATTCCCTTTCTCTGAAAGATCATATACCAAAATCAATCCACTGAATTTATCAACAAAATAAACCATCTCTGGAAATAGTCTAGGTTTAGAACAGTGGAATAGAGTTCAACCAGGTTGGGGAGAGGAGAATCAGAATCTCCTCTGGAGAATGGCTTATTTTCCCCTCAAGTGCTAGTTTTAGAAGGTCCGGAAAAAATAGAGATTGAGAAACTCTAGCTCACATCCACCAACCTTTAAATCTGGTTATGGTCACAAAACTACTGAGAGTGTGACTATCATATAAATCCTAGTGGGTGGAGGCTGAAAGCCACTGACCTAAAGGAACACTGATGCCAGAGAAATGAAAAAAATGATTACACATTTAACAGTTCTATAGTGGTCATATTTAAATGACACTAAATGACCTTTTAAGTAAATAACCCTAGTGCAACTTTTTTGCTAAAAATTAAAAAAAAATAAACTAAATACTATACTTGATCTCAGTGAAGTGGTTTAAAAACAGTATACACATTTCTAAGCAGAAGGATTAGAGTCAAATCAAACACGTTTAAAATTTAACCTTCCATAAACATTTCCGACACCCTAACAATCTAAAGCAAAAATTTATTGGAAACATTTTACAGACATAAATACCTGCTGATAACCAAGTGTTTCCAACTTAAGGAGTACTGTCACATCCAAAAAGTGGTAGATACTGCCTTGGAATCACCCCGGATTTAAAGTGAATGTATTTAACTTGCACATTTCACCAGTAATGTGATGTAGTCCTAGGGGGTCACCAAGTAAGATTTCTGATCAAAATTTAGAAATTTTGACTCTCTTTTTAATCTTTGCGATTATGCATAAATGAATGCACATATTTAGGACTCTTTGATGATCAAATTCTTCCTAACCTGCTCCTCAAGTTGCAGTTCCAAGTTTTGAATGATGTCATCTTTTTCCTGTATTAGGGTTTCCAGATCTTGACACTTTTTATACAACCTCGTCTCTGATTCACTGGTTTGAATATTAGCTGCTTTTAATTTTTCTTCCATAACTTGTACCTAAATTCAGAGGATAAAATATTAAAACTATGCATGTACTTAATTTATCATAGTATTAAATTCAGAATTTTACTTTAACATTAAATTCCTAAAAGGTATCATCATAAAAAAACACTGAACAGCAAGTTTTAATGTATTTAACATTATAAAGTCTGAAGACTATTTTGCTAAGTGATGTTACCCCTGAGGTGCATGAGGGTACATGAAAGATTCTCAGAATATTGCTATCATGTAAAGAAATGTACATGTTAACTAGATAAATGATAATATGCAAAGTATTTCATGTGAGCATAGAATTAGAAAGCTTCTAGCTCTCATTTTTTCATATTTTAAAAAAAAGTAAGAATATCAAGTAAAGACGCTGAATGGTAAGATAAGAGACTGGATGACCTAGTATAATAACACATCTTGGGAAAAAAACTGAACTTAGCTGAAAAAGGTACACATATACAACAGAAAGCAAAAGTAAAACAAAAGAACCTTAAAGGGACTTCCCTGGTGATGCAGTGGTTAAGAATCTGCCTTCCAATGCAGGGGATGCTGGTTCAATCCCGGGTCAGGGAACTAAGATCCCACATGTCGTGGGGCAACTGAGCCTGCGCACTGCAACTACTGAGCCCGCACGCTCTGAAGCCCATGTGCCACAAATAGAGAGGCCACGCACTGCAACTACTGAGCCCACGTGCTCTGGAGCCCGCATGCCACAACTAGAGAAGCCCGCTCTCCACAATGAAGAACCCATGCACCACAGGGAAGATCCCATGTGCCACAACTAAGACCCACAGCCAAATAAATAAATAAATAAATATTAAAAACAAACCAAAAAAGAACCTTAAAACCCCAATGATGAAATCATAGAGAGTAAAAAAGTATGACAGTTAAGATATAGGTAGGAGAGTACATTCCGTGAGGGTTTATTGATTCAATACTTTAACAAATATTCAATGAACACCTGCCAAGTGCCAGGTCTATACCAGGTCCTGGGAAGACATCAATGAATAAAGCAGACCCCCAAATCTCTACCTGCATAGAAATTAAGTTCTAGTGGGTAAGAGAGATCACAAATATAGTAATGACTAAAAATCACACAGTTTGTTACAGATGGCAATAAGGGTAACGGGAAAAATAAAGCAAGATAAAATAGATTGCTGTATGGCTAGGTGTTGTGGTGCCTCAATTTTAATATCTAAGATATACTGGCTCTGCTTGGATCTTCTGCAAAACACATTTGGGCATATGAAATCTTTGAAGAGATATGTGTGATGTTAATGTTAGCAAGAAAGAAAATAAAGTACTGGGCACTGTATACAATATTAAAACTTTTATTCTATATACTCCAGATAGGTAAGAATGTAATCTTAGTAATGTTTTAGATTAAAGGGGGCAAAGAAGAAAAATATGTAAAGGCATTTGAGAAATTAAAGATGATAGTTAAGATGAAAAATCTTATAAAACATCTCTGAAAAATCAAAATGAACTTACTTAAAGCTCAAAAATACTTGATTAATGAGGGCTCCTAGAAGGAGGGTGTTTAGGTTAGTTTGGCTTTGTTTTTTTAACTATGAATACAAAGTTTCATCTGTGGGTTCACTGTATAAACGTAAATTCAACTCAAATGCCAAAACTGTCCTATTTAAATACCACCCACAGGGCTGGAAGCTATGAAAATAAAAGCAGATCCAAAAAAATAGGAGAAAAAATATATTCTACTATCCAAATGATAATTTTAAGTGATTTTAAGATTTAGATTTTTTAACATAATATAGCAGGCTTTCTGCAGGAACTTCAGACCAAGAGGTCAAGGACAAAGGCCTATATCAGAGATGCTGTCATGAAAAAAGCCAAAGCAGGACAGAGAGCTAGCCAGTAAATACCAAAGGTCAGTCTTAAAATGGTACAGCCAGTTCCATGCAGGGTATTCTGTAGCTGTGGAAGCAGGGAAAGAAGAGCAGAGACCAAGTGCAAAATGGTAGTCCTCCACCAAGGAGGGAGTAATAGATCATAATACTCCAGAAAGACAAAATTAATAAAAATAAATATTACTGGACCTACATCTACAGTCTCCTTTTATTAAATTGGAGCAAGCCACCCTATGGACATTGGGCTACCACATAAAACTGTCCTATTATTGCTTAGAAAATGCCTATGGTTCCCTGGAAAACACATTCAACTTAAAAGGTGTTCTCATTTTACGAATGAATGCTAGAGTCAGAGCTCCTTGGCTGCACCTTTGCCTTGCGCAACTGTTCCATTCGACTATTACTTTTAGATAAACAACTTTCCTGGGCAAGAAAAACACTGACAAAGGTGGCAACTTCTCTGCCGGAGAGAGATCACAAAGCAGTTACAGGCAACCTTCTTCCAGCTGGCCCTGTTACGACCAAGTTCCACAGGATTCACCAGCCTTCCTTGGCAATTAGTATGAATAAGAAATCTGCAGAAAAGTTAAGAGGCCTACAGAAAAACTAAGCAGCCTTTAAAAATATCTTACCAAAAGTACACAGAAAATAGGTCAGATCTTTTACCATTTATTTAACTTGAATTATACAATTTTAACTACTCGGAGACTGGCCAGTAACACACACCTATGAATTCAAATTAGTTGTTGAATAAACTCTTGCAGTTACCAATATGTGGATATTCTCTAGTGAGGAATGTTTTGTTCTTTCAGGCTACCTTTCTCCTTTACTTCCAGGAGAGCCTCTGGTTGCATCTACCTACCCCCTCAGCACACTCCTCAGCTATTTCCTGAAAGTCTTGTTGATTCTGAGCTTTTGTGCAGTGAAGGGTTAATTCAGCAGACTTGGGGTGCTCAAACCCTGTACATTCCAAAGAAAGAACTAGCCTTTGACTGTCTGCTGGGAAATAACCTCTGAGCCCCTGGAATATTCTGCCTGATAAGACTGTCTTTATATAGCTGATACACTGGGCCACACCAGATAGTTTATGCTAACAGTGTGACTTATACTGAACACCTTTTTTGTTTACTTACCTGGGTCATGGGCCACACTGTATCAAGTTTGACCTCTGGAGGGGTTGGAAGTTGAGTAGCTAAGGTGGGTTATGCATGCATTTTGTGCTTACAAGACTGACCCCTCCCCACCCCGCCCACCAATAAAAATCCTGGACACCTAGGCTCGGATGAACAACCCTGGTTGGCAATACTTCATATGTGTTGTCCCACATCACTGATGGGAGAATCAAGTGCATTCCTGTGCAATTCCACTGTGAGAGGACAACTGGAAGCTCATACCTGGTGTCTCCTGGACTCTGCCCTATGTGCATTTTTCCTTTGCTGATATTAATCTGTATGCTTTCACTGTAATAAACCATAACTATAAGTATAACAGCTTTTCAGGATTTCATGAGTCTTTCTGGTGAATCATCAAACCTGAGGGTAGTCTTGGGGACCCTGACACAACTTCCAATGCTATTTTCCATTTTCTTGTCTATCCTGGAGAAAGCAGAAACTGCAAATATTTTCCGCATTGTAACTATCCATATCAATATTTCCTTCTTCCCATTTCTAACTTCATCCCTCCCTCCCCCACTACAGGTAATCAAGATGTGACTATATTTTTGAGTGGGGGTTGTAAGTTTCTATTCCTGTATAAGTATCGCAATGACATGACAAAGATACTTAATCATTCCAAAATACAATGACAAAATTGTTAAGAGTATTTTGAATCCCAGACCATTTTCCAGTTAATTAAAATTTATTGCAAATTAATTAATCATTCTAATCATATTTTAAGCATAGTTATTTCAGCATAGTGCTCCAAAATTTATGCAGTAAGGCCAGGCCCATTCTCACTGAAGGTGAAAGCGAACATCAATGGATAAAGTAGGTTTCCATGTAATGAAGCAAATCATTACACGGTCTTGGATGTTAGGATGACTGAGTAGTTATCATTTACTAAGAACCAAAAATAACTTGGATACTAAGAACCAACTTTATAAAAGGCAGATGAGCCCACATATTAGAATGGTCAGGAGGAAATTTAAATCCAACTCCTACCAAGCCTGAATCAAATACACGCAAGCGACTGAGTCCAGAAGGACAGAATTGAAAAGACAAACTCCTAAAGGGGAAATTATCTACCACTCTTTGGTTAGCATAAATTAGTGTATTAGACTGTATTATATACCTAACTAATCATATACTTGAGAAGTAATCCTGTTTATCAGTGTCTCCCAAATGTGCTATTTGCTGCTTTTCTGCCTCACAAGAGTTCTCATAAGTAGTACTGGGTTGATCTGCACATAACTGCTTTCAAAATTTGTGAACAATAACAATAAAGATGTACCACAGCATCAAGTAAAAAGACTGCCAAGATTTCTCTGGAAGAATGTTTAATTCTTTTTTCTATCAGCAACTTATTTAGTGATTATGCAAGTGATGCCCATACATTAACAAACAAGGAGAAAAATGTACAAAGCTAAAGTGTAGAGTTGAGCTGTTTCAGCTGACTATTGCTTTTAGTGGTGAAACATTCTTTCTAGGTTAGTATAAATACAGTTTAAGTCTTAGGATATGGCTCAATGACAAAGGATAAATTATGAATTTAAGCAACATGAACAGCAGATAGGCCATAGTCCCATGGAAACTGTTAAAGACAGTGAAGGATTCAGTTACTCCAAGTTAATAATATTTACTTAGTCTTGCAAAGGCAAAAAAAAAAAGTAATATAGTCAGTGCATTAGAATTCATCTGCTCTCTGTTTATATTTCCTGTTAACTTTTAGATTCATTGTGAAATATTTAAGAAAAGATTCTTCTGAAGCATAACAAAAATAGGTACTGTATAAATTTAAAGTGTATGACAAAAAGAAATATCTACAGATTATAAAGAGATCTTCAATTCTCACTCTTTTGGGGGGGGTGTTGATTTAAGGCAGTATATCTAAAATAACCAATCATTGTATAATTTTGCTTAAAAATGTGGCACATAGAATTAAATAATTTTACATTTGATATCCTCAAAGGACAATTTCAAATAAGATATTCTTCCTGTTAACTTATTGAGATCAGTGGTTGGGCCCTGATGGCTACAAACTGCCACGGTTTGCTTCCCTTGAATTGAGAATGGGGATTCCTTTTTTCTTTCAAGATCCAGTGAACCAAAGGGGTAAAAAAAATGAAAATCACAAATTTAAAAATTCTTCATTTAGTTTAATTTTCAGAGCTAAAAAATTTGCTGCATATATGAATTTAAACTTTTAACTTAAGGCAAACCAAAACCATCTTCAATTTCCTTCTTTTATTTTCCCCTATAATACAAGCAGTTAAAGGAGAAAAAAGGAAGGGAAGGGAAAAGAAAGCTAGGAAAGAATAGACAGAGAAACGTATGGAGACAGCCATGGGTACAGAGATAAAGAGAGATGTCACCAGGAAAGGCCAAAGTCAGAAAGGGAAAGAAAGGGAAGGAGACATGAAAGTCAGAGAGGTCAACAAAATGACAAACGTATGCTGCAAAAGGATGAAGGCTGAACAGGGACGCACATATACAGCCCACCACAGAAAAAGACATTTGGTATAGAGTGATATAAACACAAGAGTCTTTCTTTTAGAATGTAAGTGACCTTTAATGACTTTACTGTTAATTATTGGCTTTTTATAGATATATGTAGAGTAATTATTTGGTCCCATCAACTAAAGAATATAAAATACAAAAAAACCAAGCAGGGCTTCCCTGGTGGCTCAGTGGTTGAGAGTCCCCCTGCCGATGCAGGGGACACGGGTTCGTGCCCCGGTCCAGGAAGATCCCACATGCCGCCAAGCGGCTGGGCCCGTGAGCCATGGCCGTTGAGTCTGCGCATCCAGAGCCTGTGCTCCGCAACGGGAGAGGCCACAACAGTGAGAGGCCCGTGTACCGCCAAAAAAACAAACAAACAAAAAAAACCCAAGCAAATCATACATCCTTACCATTACTACTAGTACTTGTATCAAAATCTACATTTGAGGTTTTAAAAAATTATTGGTAATTTTTCGGTGGGGTGATGGTACTGTAGCTATGATTTTTAAGTCTTTGTTTTTAGATGAGTTGCTGAAATACTCTTGGGTGGAATGATATAATATCTGAGACTTGTTTCAAAATAACCTAGTGTGGGGATAGGGAAGAAGTGGGTGGAGGTATATACTAGCTGTGCATCACCTAACTGCTGAAGGTGATGACGGGGTTTCATTATACTATGTTCTCTGCTCCTGTAGTGGTTGAAATTTTGCATAATAAAATTTTAAGATTTTATCTTCAAGTATAATTAATTTAAGAAAATTAAGGATTAGGTTAAATTGGGTTAACTTAGTCAAGCCACTAAAACAACCTACTGAGTAAAATTAAATCTTTTAGGTGAAAACAAGATTTGGTAATACTCAAACTGAAGGAAGAAACATGACAAACTTAGGGCAAGTATAAGAAACTGAAGATACACTCCTTGGAAGAAATAATTTTGTATTTAAGACTTCTGAAATTCTTGACTTGACTGAATCTGACAGAGATCTTTTCATTAAATGTGAAATTATCAATTTAGGCTCCTTAGACAAACTTTAAGGCTGGTGGGCTCATCCAAACCAGTCATTTTACTGTTGGCAAGGCCCAGAAAGGGTTAAGTGATTTATCAAAAGATTATTTTTTTAAAGTAAAAGTAGTACCAAAATCAAAAACTAGAAAGCATGAATATACAAAAGAAAAAAAACAATCATCCATAATTCCACAAACACAAATTTCAGGATGTTTCCTAACAGCTTTTTTTTTTAACTCTTAAGTTTGACTTTTTTCCCCCATATCTATTAACATGTTAAATATAAAAATCTGTATATATTTTTCCTAATATAACTAAGCATTTTTCCATATTTGCATATATTCTTTGTAATAGTTTTTGTTTTTTGTTTTTTGTGTTTTTTTTGCGGTACGCGGGCCTCTCACTGTTGTGGCCTCTCCTGTTGTGGAGCACAGGCTCCAGACACCCAGGCTCAGCGCCCATGGCTCACGGGCCCAGCCGCTCCGCGGCATGTGGGATCTTCCCAGACCGGGGCACGAACCCGTGTCCCCTGCATCGGCAGGCGGACTCTCAACCACTGCGCCACCAGGGAAGCCCGTAACAGTTATTTTTAATGGTTGTTTAATATTTCATGGAATAGATACAGTTCTCTAATTCATTCTCCTACAAAATGGCATTCATATTATTTCCAACTCTTTATTACTATAAATAAAGCTGCCATGAACATATTTATACATAAACTTTCATTATGGTTAGGCATAACCATAAAAGTTATATTTGATTTTTTTCATGAGTAAGATAAAACTTCCGAATAGAAGCATTTTTGTCCTTTTGAAAATTTATTAAGGGGCAAAACAAAGTTAGATTCTCCATTTTCTCTATGGACCAGCTCATGAACAGTAAAAATGATAAAATGAGGACAGCTGAAGACTATTTTCAGGATTGTTTTGGGCAAAACAATGTTTATATTGGTAGAGGCAGAAAACAATTTTTTAACTAAAACTATACGCTACCTGTTGGAAAGCCTTTTCTGCTTGACGTTCAGCATCAATAACTTGTCTCTCAAGCTGCTGCATCTGAAAAGTGAGAAAAGATATAAAAATTAGAAAAATTCATATTTCCCTTTTGGAATTCTTTAAGAACATTTAAAGTACTTCAGTGAATATGAATTGCATATAATTTAGCACATTAAAAGCTCTTTCAGGGCATATTTAAAAATGGATCAAATAAATTCCAAAGGTTTGATACTTTTAATACAATGTAATATATACTACATGAGTAGTCACCAATAGAATTTTGTTCATTGGACTATATGTTAGAAATCACTGATTAACACATATTAAGAACAATAAATTAAATCTAAGAGAATAGTAAGACCTCAAATGTCATATTTGATTTGTTGATCAAAAATAGACATTTCTCCAAAGAAGATATACAGATTGCCAACAAACACATGAAAGAATGCTCAACATCATTAATCATTAGAGAAATGCAAACCAAAACTACAATGAGATATCATCTCACACCAGTCAGAACGGCCTTCATCAAAAAATCTACAAACAATAAATGCTGGAGAGGGTGTGGAAAAAATGGAACCCTCTTGCACTGTTAGTGGGAATGTAAACTGATACAGCCACTATGGAGAACAGTACGGAGGTTCCTTAAAAAACTAAAAATAGGGCTTCCCGGGTGGCGCAGTGGTTGACAGTCTGCCTGCCGATGCAGGGGACACAGGTTCGTGCCCTGGTCAGGGAAGATTCCACATGCCACGGAGCGGCTCGGCCCGTGAGCCATGGCCGCTGAGCCTGCACATCCGGAGCCTGTGCTCCGCAACGGGAGAGGCCACAACAGTGAGAGGCCCGCGTACTGCAAAAAAAAAAAAAACAAAAAAAAACAATCTAAAAATACAACTACCATACGACCCAACAATCCCACTACTGGGCATATACCCTGAGAAAACCATAATTCAAAAAGAGTCACGTACCACAATGTTCATTGCAGGTCTATTTACAATAGCCAGGACATGAAAGCAACCTAAGTGCCCATTGACAGACGAATGGATAAAGAAGATGTGGCACATATATAGAATGGAATATTCCTCAGCCATAAAAAGAAACGAAATTGAGTTATCTGTAGTGAAGTGGATAGACCTAGAGTCTGTCATACAGAGTAAAGTAAGTCAGAAAGAGAAAAACAAATACCATATGTTAACACAGATATATGGAATCTAAAAAAAAAAAAAGGGTCATGAAGAACCTAGAGCAGGATGGGAATAAAGATGCAGACCTACTAGAGAATGGACTTGAGGACATGGGGAGGGGGAAGGGTAAGCTGTGACAAAGTGAGAGAGTGGCATGGACATATATACACTACCAAATGTAAAACGATTGCTAGTGGGAAGCAGCCGCATAGCATAGGCAGATCAGCTCGGTGCTTTTTGACCACCTAGAGGGGTGGGATAGGGAGGGTGGGAGGGAGGGAGACACAAGAGGGAAGAGATATGGGGATATATGTATATGTATAGCTGATTCACTTTGTTATAAAGCAGAAACTAACACACCATTGTAAAGCAATTATACTCCAATTAAGATGTTAAAAAAAAAATTCCCAATGAGCAGGGGAAGGATAAATTAGGAATTTGGGAGTAACATATAAACATTCCTATATATAAAATAAACAACAAGGACCTACTGTATAGCACAGGGAACTACACTCGATATTTTGTAATAACCTATATGGGAAAAGAATCTGAAAAAGAA